CAGGGGACGAGGTAGGGGGTAGAGTCCTAGGGGGCCAGTTAGGATGGGGGGAAGGTCTCAGGAGGGGGCAGTCAGGGGACAAGGAGGAGGGAGGCTTAGGTAGGGGGTGGAGTCCTGGGGGGCAGTTAGGTAGGGTTACCATACGTCCGGTTTTTCCCGGACATGTCCAGCTTTTTGGTCCTCAAATCCCAGTTCCGGGGGGAATTGCCAAAAAGCCGAACATGTCCGGGAAAATAGCTTTGCCGGCATCCCTGCCCCAGTCCCCTGCTTACCTTGCGGCTCCCGCAGGCTGCGAGCTGCAGGTGGATTCCCCCACGGCGGCTGCTGCTGCTCCCCCCAGACACCTCAGCTCTGTGTAGCTGAAGAGCCGAGCTGCCCGAGCACTACCGGCTTCACGGTTTGCCGGGCAGCCCCCAGACCTCCAGACCCTGCGCCCCTGGCCGGGCGCTTCCCCTCCCGGGCTCCGGCTGCATTGGGAAGGCGCCCGGCCGGGGGCGCAGGGTCTGGAGGTCTGGGTCTGCCCGGCAAACCGTGAAACCGGTAGCGCTCGGGTAACTGTTTCGCAGCTGGGAGGGAGGAGGGGGAATGCGGGGCGCTCAGGGGAGGGGTCGGAGTTGGGGGGGCGGGGCCCCGTGGAGTGTCCTCTTTTTTTAATGAGGAAATATGGTAACCCTAAGTAACGCATGGCCATCACATTTGCCAGTGTCTAGCTCAGCTTAGCTAGATATACTTCCCCTAACGCTTCTGAGGAAACTAAGGGTGAAATCCTTGCCCTGTCGAAGTCAAATGGGAGTTTTTGCTAATGTTTTCACCCTATGGGTTTTTCCCCCACAGACACAGTTGTCCTCAGTGAGGAATAGACTATTTATCTTTTTCTAAAATTAAATTTTTGTTAACATAACCTTATGCTATCGTGATGTGGCCAATCACCACTTTCACCTCTCTTGAGTCCATGGAAAATTGTACCACTACCCCTGCCAGTTGGTCTGTCTTGGATTTTGAGTTCTTTGGGGAAGGACTGCCCGTTCTTTTCCTTTTGGAGAGAAAAGCACATTGTGGGTGCTTCCAGATTAAATAATAGTTATATATAAAGTGCTAGAAATGCTCCTAATTCCCTCAGGTATCTTAATATCAGATGTAAAGTGAAGCAAGAGCACACTGAACGAAGCCTGCATAGTCATCCCCTCATGAAAAAAAGTAGGTACAATAATGAACTTCCTGGAGCCAAACTTTTATGGAAAATAGCATTGGGCTCCAATTTTGTGCACTTGCTGATTTGTGCCTAAAATTATCATATTTGCATGTGAAAATGAGGTCAGTATATAGACTAACAGTTTTGGAGCATGCGGAATTAGTGTACTACTTTAAAACTTGGACTGCAGCGTACCATGTGTCTTATTAGTACTGTGGTTATCATATCTTTGCACATAGTCATCCTGTACATTACAGACTTACACCACTTCACATCTTCCTCCAGCACCCACCCTTTCTTCAAAGAACATATCTATAAGTCAGCGCTCTCCCTTATGCACACCTCATGGCCTGATATATGCCCACCTGCTGTTCCCTATGTGAGGAGACCCTACCTGGGGATTGTTTTGCAGACATGTGCACTGTTGTTGTTCTACTCTGTTTCCAGCTGCTTGGCTCTTCTTCCCTAAGCATACAAACATTTATCATTGCAGACAATCCCCTTGTGTTGCCAAGTAACTGACAGCACTAAAGCAGCTAGCACAGAATTGCAAAGCCTACTTTGCACAAGAAGGATGTCTACATGCTGTATTGGGAAGGCAACATAGTACAGCAAGGGCAGTGGATTAGGAGTCAGGAGCGCCAGGCCAAAAATTTCAAAAGTGACTAATGATTTTTTGAGTGGCTCAATATTGTATGTCCAATTAGAAAAACCTTAAAAAGGGCCTGATTTTCAGAAGGCAGCTGCTCAGCACTTTCTGAAAATCAGGCCCCATTAAGGTGTCTTGTATCTGGGCACTTAGAAATTGAAGATTCCAAAATCACTTGTTACTTTTGCAGATCTTGAGGTTCTGTTTCCAGCTTTAGCCTTCCTATGTGACCTTGGGCAAGTCACTTCCCTCTGTGTGTCAATTTCAACATCTGTAAAATGGGGGGTAATGTTACTTGCCTTCCTTTCATAAAGCACTTTGAGAACTATGGATGATAAGAGCTGTATAAGAGTTAAGTATTATTATTTCCCCCATCCACAGAAATACAGCCACACGTACCCACGTCAATTTACAGCAAACAGTTCCCTTCTCCTCTTCCCCATTCAGCTGCCACCATTTTTCCTGCCACAACCTGTTCTCCTAATTTTTCAGTGAGTGACATAATTTTACTCTTCCATTCAGCTATCACTTCTGCAGTGTCTATATATCCTTTGCAACAACATATTCAGTCCCTGCTTTGAAGTACCAACTGTAACAGTATACAGGTGCCAGATGAGCAGCAGGGGGGGGCAATGTTCAGAGAATACAGGATCTGGGCGAGGGCAAGAAGCATGGGAACACCGGAGGAGGGAATAAGGGTAATGTTTCTGCAGTAGCAGGATATTTCAATCCTTCAGCACCAATCCTTTTCACTGGAAAAATGCTGCTGCACTGGAGGGCTGTAGCCCACAATTGAAGAAACCTAGCAAAAGGCTTAGATGAGAAAACATTTAGTGGTTGTACTTTTATTTAGCATTATACAAAAAACAGTTTCTAGTGAAGGCAATCACATGGGCTACTGATGGTGCTCTGAATTGCCAGGAAGATGGTTTGATAACTGATCCATCTTTACTTCCCCATATAGGGAGCATGGCGTGTGCTAAGAAAGCAGTGCAATCCCCCTGAGAAAAGCCCCTTTCAACACTCAGTAGCAGAGCTGGTTGGGAATATTCCATCTGACTGATTTCCTGACAGAAAATGCAGTTTCCACAAAAACTGATTTTGTCTCAGTTCAACTCAAACCAGCATATTTTGTTTTTAATTGATCCAGTCTGTTTTGTTTCTAATCAGTTCAACAAAACATTAAACTACATTTTCCTATCGGCACATTGCCTTTTGGGAGTTGTAATTTGGGACCCTCCTTTTTTTCCTGTGAGCAAGGTTCCCTCGAGGACATCTTTTATAATGCAATGTGGATTTCCGTCTCATTGAGCATCATGGCACTTCATGACTTGGAATAAATTATGGGAAATGTCCAGTCAGGGAGGCTGGCCCATGGGAGAGAATGGGGCCATCTGGCCTCTGAACTACAACGCCGATGAGGCAATTCCCCACTTTGGGAAAATGCATTTTAATATTGAACTGACTCAAAACTAAGCAGCTCAGGTCAGTAAACTGAAACAAAATATTTCAATTTTGGGAATGTCACTGTGGTTTATATTCAGAAATTCCATTCCACACAAAAAATTGAAATTTCAACCTTTTGTCCCAATTCAGGATAAAAGCAAATGTTGAAATGTCAGAATTTCCTATAAGACAGAAATTCCCATTTTCACTCTACTGTTCAGTAGCAACTCCTTTATCTTATTTCTGCTTCACCATCACTAATCAGAGAGTTCAGATAACCATCCCAAAATTCAAATGCATAACAGAACTGTGTCTAAATACCGTGGTTCTGGAAGACCAGCCTGTGACTTTCACAAGACATCTGGTACTTTGCACCCTATTTCCAGAGCAACCAAAAGCAGAAGCCAAGATCTTTGTGCCATTTTGGCACTTCCAATGCCAACTGGAACAAAGAAGCACAAAGTAGCATAAAAGAAGAAAAATAAAGAAGGTGGAGGGGAGGAATAACACCATTTTTTTATACTTCCCCAACAGGTTCAAGTTTGGGTTTAGCTAAGGTTATGGGTGAAGGGTCAGGTTATTCACTTTCCTATTACTATTAGTGCCGATGGGCTCCAAAAAGCATCACGCCAGTCTTCAGACAGGTATGGCCTCTGTGTGGGAATATAAAGTATTTAAAGATGTGAAGGTGGGGCACAGAAATATGGTTGTTTTTCAAGTCCCCTTCCACTTTTAAAATGGAAGATAATCTAATTAGATGGACAATTTTACTGCATACAAACTAAAATATATTAGGAACTACATTTTATATATTTATTTATATTTCTCTAATGCCTGTAATTGTTGCCTTCAAAAGTTAATAATCTGGAAGAACAAACTAAGATTTAGTGGACATGTAGAAATTAGCAATAATTAAAACTTGCTGCAAGGACTCATGCCAGTTCCGGTTCCCAATTCTAATCAAAAGTCAGGAAGATGTTTCTAAGCATACAATGTATAAAGCCTTACCCTACTGACTGTAAAATTCTTTGATCTTGATAGTTTCTAATTTAAGCAGTATCCAGAATATAAAGCGCTGGATGGACATGTCAGTGACAAAAGACACTATTGAAGTTGTTCCCATCTCCTTCCTTTTATTTCCAGGATTAACTTAAGGCAAATCTTTTCCAGCTGCTGCTATTATAACTTTGTTTATGGCATATGTCTCTCCTGCACTATCCCAACAAAAGAGCAGTTGACTTATCATTTTGGGTTTTTTGTTTGCTTTTATTTTTTTTGCACATGCCCAGTTGAGCCAGTTGATGCCCGCCCAGCTGCAGACAGAGGACTGACCACAAGACCAGGTATATAACTTGCATGGCTTTTACCTAACCTATGTTTTTCCCAGCATGTCTGTGACCTGCTTGAGCTGAAATGATCCTTTTCTTTGTTATTACCCCCCTGTTAAACTGTAGTGTCATGTCATGAACCAGTATAGATGGGGAGTTGCAGCCAGAATTTTAAAAGGGGCTCTCTCAAATCTTCCCCCGAAGCCTCTGAGTACTCTCTCTCTATCAGTATGTGCTTGCAAAAAGGACAGGGGAGAAGACTGGAGGAAATGTCCATTTTTTCTTCCCATGTAGCAAAAGTAGTTTTTGTTTTTTTATAAACAAGAGGGAAGCAGTACTGCTGCACATATAGAGAACCCTTACTTTGGAAGTGTGTGTATACTTTGTTCCTGAAAAATAGAGGGTGTTTTGTAAATTGAAAATAATAGTGCAGAGTTCAGCTTCCCAGTTTGGAAATTGATGGGGCCATTAAAACTTTTTAGGCGGTTCAGGGACAGGACTTATTTTTTTAAATACCAGCCCCTTGATGCAATTTCCAAAGGCAAAGTTGCTCTTCAGAAGTATTTTTACAAGCTCAGGAAGAAGTCCTTTCTAGTAGTAGTCTTTCTCCAGGTCTGACTCCATTGAAGGCAGAGCAATTGCTCCAACCTTCTCTTCATGGCAGAATTTAGATTTCCCTCCAGCACATCAGTGATATTAGATCAGTCAGTTCTTGGATCAGAATTTCAGCACTGCAACATCACATATTTTTAAAAACAAGTGTAACATCCTCATAGCACCTAAGTGTTTTTGTCTTCCTAAAGAGGGGTAGAAATATCATACTGTATGCATCATTTTGCATATGAATGTTTTATTTCCATTCTCCCTCACCCACAAAATATACTCGTATTTAATCCTAACCTTGTAACCTGTCTGCTTTACAAGGATTTTTCTTCTCATAGTTTTTTTCCTGCATAATGTCCTATTCACTCATTTATGCTTGTTATCTTTTTGATTGGCATTTTCATATGCATAACCAAAAGCCTGCTGCTAAGAGACCCATGTTCGTTGTTAAATATTTTTCATAAATGAGGGGCAGAAAGTCTGGTGGGTACTGATATGAGAAGATATACTCTTGCTCCTCTTTGCCACATTCAGGCTTCATCTCATTAAGTGGTAACTATCATTAAACCCTTGATAATGGGGTTCTTATTTTCTTTTTCTACATTCCTTTGGCTGGCAGTGGTATTGTACCAAGAGTACTGGTGCCAGTGTAGTTAATGATCTATCCAAGGTTGTATGTTAGATTTCTGAGAGGGGCTGTTATACTTTGAAAGGTGATTTTTTTTTTTTTATAGCTTCAAATTTCCAAGTGAGAGAGGGCAGTTTTACTGCTCATAAGTTACACTATTTCTTTAACTCTTCGCTGCTTGAGTTTTAGGTGATGTTCACTTAAGTGCAAATGGGGCATTCTGCAACAGCCTCTTCAACACTTACGCCTTTAACATGGAGTTTGAGTGCTGGGGAGGTCCTATTGTAGTCACTTACCCTTTGCCTCAGTTCCCTGCTCTCTTATAGTCCCCTAGAGTGAATGTTACCCTTGTGAATATCCCCATCCCATGTAAGTGCAAACTGGCAATCTAATCAATAAATAAGCACAATTACTCTAAATCTAATGCTGGAACTAATGTTTGTGCCTGCACCCTGAGTTTGTAGGAATAAACTAACTTCTTTGGTTCAGATAGAAGAAGATGGGGAAAGTGGCTACCTTGTATTAATTTTTGCACTGATTGAAAATAGCATATCCCTGGAAAAGCTTCTTAAACATCTACGCTTCCAGATATTTTTTGTCTTCAGAAAAACCTAATGGATTAGGCCTATTAACTTTTTTAAAACATTAGCAGATTCCGTTAAATAAAACTGTCAAGTTCCATTTGCGTTTCTGTGGGTAAGTGCTCAAGTCAGGAAATGACCAAGTTAATAGGGTGGTCTAGTAAGTAGAGTATTGACTTGGACTAAGGAGACCTGACATCACTTCACAGTTCATCAACAAGTTTCCTGTATGATCTTGGGTGAGTCACTTAATTTACCCTTTGCCTCACTTCCCTGACTGTAAAACAGCAGTAATGCTTTCCTACCTCATATGGATGCTGTAATAAAAAAAATAAAAAAAAAACATTTTAGGCTACAAGGAAAAGCTTTCTACAAGTAATTACTGAAAATGGAGGATTATGATGGAAACGTTATGCATCCTTAGCTAGATAGGACTTACTCTCTGCTTCTAGTACAGTATATGACTTCACAGCATTCCAAGATGCCTTGTACAACATATCATAATATACTATATACATAAGAGACAAATAGTATCCTTCACCACCCTGTCTCTGCACAACAAGTAAGAGAGAACGCTTTCACAGAACTCAGAGGTCTCTGTGCTGACTTACATAAGGAAGTCTTGAGGGCCTTGCTAATGCCCATCTTATGTTAGGATGAACCAAACAATTATTCATTAGGCTCCAACAACCTTATTTGCCAGGTTTTTAACTAAATAACATTCATTTAGGCTCTGATCTCAGCAACAAAAGGAGTCGTCGTAAATGGAGGCACTGCATATTATCAGTAGAGACACTGAATTCTTAAAAACCTGATCAAGATAGGTCAAATAATGTGTAAACACCATAGTGAGACTTTCTGCCAGTCTGCCCGAAGTGTGAATGTCTAGCAATAAATACCCACCTGATTTTCCATCACACATTAAAGTTATAATTTGGGTAATTTTAAAATGCTTCTGAAGCATTCAGAGCTATTTACGGGGCATGTACACTAGTCCAAGCAGTGATAATAGAGTATAGGATAATATCTTTCTAGAATTCCAACTAAAGTAGATAATTAATCAAACTCAAAGTATTAAATGCAAAAGGAAAGCTGTAAACTTAAAAATTATCCTTCTCTCTGAATTTTTAACCACTTATTACAAGTAAAACCTCAATTTTATTATAACTGAAAGAAGGAAACAATATTTTACTTTGTATATAGTTGGTTTCACTGAATTTTTTGTATAGAAGGTCAGTTTTCAAGTGTTCTTTTGGCTGTTCTTTCGTACATCAGTAGAGGAGAGAAAAACATTGTGAAATAGGAGGGTGTGTTTGTAGAACCAGAAATATTAGCAGAGGGACTCAAAGGCAGGTGAAATACCGGACCCTACTTTAAACAATTTTTTTTAAATTGTAGCGATTCCAAACTGGTTTCCTTTTAAAGGTCCTCATGTCATCATCTTGACTCTTCAGTTTCTGCTTCCGCGGGGTGAAAATATTAATGTCTGTCATCCATAATCAGGCTTTCCTTGTGGTCTTGGAAACAAATGAACATCTTGACTCAAATATATTGCCATGAGCTAACATGTCGGACTTGCCCATGGGTCCTCAGAACCTTTTAAAAAAAACAAACAGATGTTTAATGCCTCCACGTGTACATTTAAAAAAAATGGCTGATGTATTGCCAAGTAGGAAGTTCTCACAACCACCACTTTTCTTCTGTGCAAACAATAGGATCTTCTTGAGATCACACCTAGATCAGGATCCACCATGAGAAATAATGCAGCCTAGGTACATCAGAGAGATTCTTAGCTGGGCTGCTCACAGTCTTATCAGCTGTAGCAACAATTTCATATGAGTCTAGTCGCCTAGTAATTATCATTCCCTGAGCAGTCATGTCAGAAAATGTTAGAGAATGTGAAGAGTTGTCCAGTCCATAGAGCGGTGAGGCTTCTGAGGAAAATGACACCAAGTCTCCAGTGCCTTCACTCAGAAAAATCTATTGCATCATTCACCTTTGCAGCTCCACTATTGCTAGCAAGAGCAGAAACAGTCATGTAAAGAGGGCTTGCTCTTGAACCTAGAGTATGACAGTCTCTGTAAACCCCCAGCATAGTTTACATTTTTAAAAAAGTGTGGGGGGCGGGTTTTCTCTGAGCGATTGCCTATAGCCAGTGGTGTTGCATGAGACCAACTTTTCCTAATGTAGATGCAGCATCTGCATGACAGACTTTTGAAATGAAGCCTAATGCTTCAGCACACTCTGCTTCCTATGTGTCATTCACAAAAGATGGAACAGAAGTAGAATTGTGCCTAAATACGTTCACTCTTCTCTCTCCCCTTCCCCCCCTACCCCCCAAAAGGAAGTAAGCTAAAAGAATAAAGAGAACAGTGGGAAGGTAAAAAAAGGTAGGGAGGTATCTAAAACCTCATATGCTGAGCAGTCAGCCTTGAGCTGTATTTTCTTTTCAATTCTAATTTTATAAATAAGTATTCATTGCCTTACAAAAAATTGTTCCATACAGTGAGAACTTTATAGAGTATAGAAGGGGTAGGCAACCTATGGCACGCGTGCCAAAGGCGACACGGGAGCTGATTTTCAGTGGCACTCACACTGCCCGGGTCCTGGCCACCGGGCCGAGGGGCTCTGCATTTTAATTTAATTTTAAATGAAGCTCCTTAAACAATTTAAAAACCTTATTTACTTTACATACAACAATAGTGTAGTTATATATTATAGACTTATAGAAAGAGACCTTCTAGAAATGTTAAAATGTATTACTGGCATGCGAAACCTTAAATCAGAGAGAATAAATGAAGACTCGGCACACCACTTCTGAAAGGTTGCTGACCCCTGGTGTATAGTATAGCCCAGAACAAAATGTATTGCCAAGCTTTGAAAACCCCTCTTATAGAAAGGATTTATAATGAAAAGAGTAACACCTCTTAGCTGATAGCTGCACTGTAAGTGCTGCTTTAACAATATGTTTTCTTTCCAGAGGTCACTTGTGCATTGTTTAATTTCTTACAGCTGAATTCTTAGTGCCTGTGCCCCAGTAAATTTTTATTGATAATAGCACCATGAAAATACACAAATGAGTCCATTACATCTCAGTAACTCCATATTAACTTGGCATCCCTGGTCTTGGAAAGAGAAGGCAAAATTAGAAAACTAGCCTATTGTTCAATACTGACAGAATTTCCAATGCTCAGTACAAATAAAAATGCTAGTGTTGCCTTCATATTAGGTCAGGTTCTTATTTGTCGGTACCCTTGATAAATCCAGATACCACCATCTGACAATGGGTCTTTATGGGCCATGGTGCACAAATATTATGGCATCACTTCTTCCTACTCTTATTGAAGTAGTAATGAAATTCTTATTGAATGTGAAAACTCTGGTTTTCAAATTACTTGGCCTTTTAGGATTTTCCCAACATAGCTGTCAGCCTGTTGTTTAAATATTTATCTAATCATTTTGTGGGGACTGTGCTCATAAAACCTTTTCTATTTCCTCTTTTCCTCCTGTCCCCCTACTGCTGTAGCAAGTTCAAGTAATTCCTGTCCTCCTTGCTTCTGTTATATAGCGGGCTTAGGTAGTACTAGCCAATATATGCAAAGCCTCCTTAAAAGACCATTTATGTTGCAGTAGTATTAAAAGATCTGTGACATTCTGTAGGAGGTGTGGGCAGATAGTACACAAGTGAATTATTGATGATTTTCGTACCATGAATAATCGCTTTTCTCTTTTAGTGAAATTAATTCAGTTTTTTTAACCAAAGTAAAAAGAAAAGGATAGCACAGCAACAACTCACCATGTGGCTCTGTTTTGTACTTTACTATTTCTTCCTTCTTTTTTAAAAAAAAAAGTGAGTTACTTTTACTTGGCCATAAGACTTGTTCTCTGATGAAACCTGGCAAATACAGTCTTGGGTTGGGAGCATAGCAATTTTTTTTTTAATTTAATTTAGAAATCTAGTTCCTGAAGTTGGCTGAAATTGTGATCATCTATATATTTTCAGACACTTTTTATACTTCTGAATCCAAATATCATTTGCCGTTTTTTTTCCAAATAGGAAATTTTCAAATCATTAGTTTATAAATAGCACACTAGTTATTTCTATGCATGCACATGGGGTATTTTAAAAAATAATTTCCATGAGGATTTACAATACATTTGCACGACCACTGCATCGACACATTCCAGAGAGAGACCTGCCAAATTTGATGCGTTTGAGGGGTTTGCTTTTTTTTTTTACATTTAATTTAAAAGCAAGTTTTAAAATGAAGGATTTTATGTTGAGTTTCATGGAGATTTTAAAAATCTTCTTTGAGCTTGCTCACTATGGTTCTCTCACAGAGAGCCCTGCAGTAATACATGGAGTAAGAAGAGTTAACAAAACGTAGATCTTAATCAACGCCTAAGGAGTATCTGCAAAATTAATCCCATGCAGTTACACAGCAGTTTTCAGCCAGAGATATCTCATACATCTTTACAGAGGTACATCACCCTCATGAGGCACAGCCAGCTGAAATGCCTTGCCCAAGACCATGCAGCAAATCAGTTGCAGTGGGGGAGTAAGAGCTACAGTCACCTGCCTCCCCGTCACTTGCTCAGACCACTAGGTCATAGCTCCCTCTCTATGCAGATTTTCCCTTGGAAAAATATATAACACACAATCTGTTACAGAGGGGTGTCAGTCAGAGCACACACAAAAAGAAATAGCTGTCATTTCCCAAGCGATCACATTTCCCAGAGTACGAAAACAGTAACTGGGGAACGCAGGGTAGGGGACAATGGAAAAAGAGATCAGGATAATGAAAGACAAAAAACAAAAATACATAAACTCTACCAGTCCCAAATATAGAGCCAGTATAAACCGCCCTCTGTTCCCTCCCAGCACCTCCCTAGGCAAATAGTGAGTTTGGATGGTTGAAGTCAGAGGCCAGCTTAAAACAAAATAGCAAAATAAATTAACAGAGTGGTTCTTACAAAGTATCCACCCCAAGGAGGGGGAACATCATCCTTGCATTGCTCTGGTCTGAATTTCAATGTGCGGTTAGGCTGGCTCTTGGTGGTAGGGTTGCCAATTTTGGTAGGATGTATTCCGGGAGGTTTCGTCACACAACATGAATCTTTAGTTCCAGGAGACTCCAGGACAATCCTGGAGGGTTGGCAACCCTACTTGGTAGCCTGACTGAGACTCTTCAGCCTCCTGGATTTCTGCTCTCTGCTGAGATATACTGCTCCGTTTCCCAGAAATCCTAAAAGGACACTGTCTTCCCTTGAGTAGGAATGTGGAGTGTCAGAAGGGTCCTTCCCGCTACACTCTAAACACAACCAACCAGAGTAAAATCAAAGCCTTTGGGTATGTCTGTATATACAGCTGTGCTGCTGCAGCTCTGTACCATGTCTGGTGAAGAGACACACTCGTCAGCATTTAAAAAATAAAAAAAAAATAAAAAAACAACCTCCCTGAACAGCAGAAGCCTCCCGCCAACATAGCGCTATGCGCACAACAGTTTATGCTGGCGTAACTTCAGTCGCTCAGAGGGGTGGTTTATTCACTCCTCTGAGCGATATAAATTATGCCGGCATAAGCTGCAGTGTAGACATAGCCTTTGTCTCTGGTTCTGGTAGTGTTACTAGCCAATTCTATCTCCGCCCTGGACTCTAGACAATCTGGGAAACAGAGTCCTGAACCTCTGTCATCAGTCTCCCTCGACGCTCAGTCTGATGTTTCAGGAGCACCCCATCCAATGAGGCGTACAGGAATGAAGATTGGTGTGGACCCCTGCAAACCAAAACCACCAAGTCCTGTACAGCTGTTTAACCAGTAGATGAAGCAATTACAAACTATGAAGTAAATGATATACAACTGGGTAGTTACCCAGCGGAATTCAGTCTCTCTTTTTAAAGGCCTCACATATTTTCATAAACATATATGCTAATTTTTTTGAGACAGGAACAATCCCCACAGCAGCTGGTCTACTCTCTTGAGTAATTTAATATGAGATTTTAAAATTTCAATTGTTTTTTCTTTTAAGATAATAGAGCAAATTATATTTCAAAACACCATAAAAAAATACATTAAAAAAAATTAAGACCACTAAACAGCAAAGTAGTTACATATCACCTAATTTAATAAATCTAAATACTTAAACATGTTTTGCCTTGCTTTTAAGTTTCATGTTTTCAGTTGCACATATAATAAGAAAACATGTTATTCTTATCAAGTATAAAGAAAAACATTTAATGAAAACACAATCTAAAATTTCACTCATGGAAGTTTTATTTTTATCTATCCTCTTTCTGGTATCAAAATATTTTCTGTTAACATTTCCCATCTAACATTATCCCTTACCAGTTAACAGTAAGATTTTAAAATCAAAATACATAGAATTGCTGCATAAATAATGTATGTAATTTATAGTAAATAATTTTTCCTTTTAAATTTGTGAACTGGCACTGAAGCTATTTGTCACTAATGTTTTAGTGTATTTCTTTTTGAAACAGGTTTTGTATTGTGTTTTTTATTTTGTACTTGCTGATGAAAGGACGGCATCTATTTTGTATCAGTTACGGTTGTTTTGTAATGTAACCTATATTTCTTTATGCTTGATAAGAATGTGTTTATTATGTGGACGGTGTAAGGGTAACAATGTCCTTAACTATTTCTTTTTATATTACATTTGGCAAGACACTTAAATTCTGTTCCGTGACTGCCTCTGGAAAAGGGACATTCCCTGTGCACATTCCCTCTAAGCCAAGTGTGTATTTTGTGGGGCATGCAGGAGAATGTCACTTAACCAGATCCAGGAGTTTCCTTTCACTTTGGAAAATTAGTATTAGTCTGGTTTGGAGCTAGAAAGAAAATATTCTGTCACCTTTTTATTTATTTATTTAACCTCCCTCAGTTTCCTTGACCAAAGCATGATGTGTAGTTTTCAAATTGCAATTCCCTAAACATTTTACTATTCTTGCCCTTAAAAATTGCCTCTTGCAATGAGAAAATGTAATGGTGTAATGTGATCTTGTTAAACAGCAGATACATTTTTAAAAAATGTTAAGCATTTTAACATCAGTAAGTAGTTAATTTAATAATTCAAACATGCCAGAAAACAGTCTAAATGCCTAGAAGAGTGTCCTGAAAGTGAGGATTTTTTTTTAATGTTGTGTTATAAGAGGGATCAAAATTATCATTAAAATGGGATCATTTGTATGGTCTAAAGAAGGTAGTTCGGGAGCTTCTGTTCTTCTTGTCTCATAACACAAGGACAAGAGGACATTCAATGAAATTGAAAGGTGGCAAATTCAAAACAGATAAAAATAAATACTTTTCCACTCAACGTTAGATCACACTGTGCAACTATTTGCCACAGGATGTCACTTAAAATATGGTACAAATGCACAGAAAGCAAAGTAAGATGCAATTTTTTCACAGCAGTGGGAGTTAAATAGGAAAAGTTCAGCCTTAATGTCAATTTTCCTTAATGTTGTCATAATGCGTCTCAACCAGGGCGGCCAATGAAGGGGGTTGGGGGGGGCGGCACATCGGGCCGTTGGGCAGCAATTCCGCTGCAGGGCTGCCACCGATCACAATTGCGGCTCCCCCCTCCCCCCCCCCCCCCGCCCTTGGGGTGACAAAAAGGCTAGAGCCGGCCCTGGTCTCAACTGTTCCATCCTGTGAGGCACTTCATGAGACCACTACCTTAGTTCCTCACTACTTGATTCTTTGGTGCATGCACCACCACAGATGTAGTGGATTGAGAAACAGTAACAGAGGAGGAAGTTTACTGGCTCATTGTCAGTGGGAATGCAAAATTGGATACGCTTCATTGCTTCCCCAGTTCAGTTTTCACATTACATTACGCTTCATTTATGTGAGTGACACCATTGCCTTTTGCTGTCATCTTTTGCTAGCTAATTATTTAAGTGGTGGATTTAATAAATTATTTCCTTGCGGTCAATGCAGGTTCTGGGTTAACCAATGTTAAAACTGAAGAGATCTCTGAAGTAAAGATGGATGCAGAGTTCCGACATGATTCAGGATATGAAGTGCATCATCAAAAATTGGTGAGTGAACATCTAGAGCTTTTAAGTTTGTTTTGAATCGCTGTGGTTAATAACGTCCTTACCTACAGGGACATTATGACCCACATTTTTTTAATTGCGTGGTTGGAAAAAAAATCTACACATAATTTTCACACATACATGGTCTGATTCTCCTCCCTCTTAGATGGGTATAAATTGGGAGTAATTCCATCGGAGTCAGTGAACTTACACCAGTGTAAGACTAGTACGAGAGGAAAATGCACACCGCATTTGTGCATCAGTTACCAACCTGTATGGTCATTTATGCCTGTACCACGCACTCTCAATGCCAGTGATCAAAAAAAGTAAGAAAGAAAACATTGAACTGGGAACGTCATTAGACATGAATAAAAATACTTCTGGAACCCCCCCCCAGTGTTGTCCCAAGATATTAGAGATACAAGATGGGCGAAGTAATAGCTTTTACTAGACCAACTTCTATTGGTGAGAGAGATAAGCTTTCAAATGACACAGCTCTCTTCATCAGGGCTGGGAAAGGTGTCTAAGGCAGTGTTTCTCACCCCAACTAAGATGCTGTAATAACGTGAGATTTGCAAACAGGTCAGGGAGAGGAATGGCAATGGAGGTGGGGAATGAAAACATAAGGCCTCAGGCCCCAGATTTCCTATCCCATCCTGGTTATCTGAGATTTTGTGGCGACCAGAAACTATAATTAAATAACAAAGAGGTTTTCATGTATAGTTCTGTCAGTACCCAAGCAGTAGCAAAGGGTTCGGCTAAGTCATAGCAGCACTCTTCGCCAGGGCTGTGCCAAAAGTGTGCCAGAACCTTGAAATCCACCCAGGGAATGGGTTCAGATTGCAGTGCAATCATGGAACATCAGCCCAATAATACCACTTGAGCTGGACTCAAGACCTTGCCATGTTCCCTCAGGCACTCAAGGCTAGAGTCAAAGGGTCTTAGGCACTGCAATACTCAGCACCTAGGGGCATTCACACCCCTAAGTTAGGACTGAGGTTCCCCATGTGGCTCATGAGGGGAGTAAGGAACCTGGAATGGGAGTCACAGAAGTCATCATGCTGAGCTGGGAGTCATCTAGGCTAGCTAATAGGAAATGCTGAGGAAAGGGATGTGGCCTAACCTCTTCCTCAAAGGGTGCCTCCCTCCAAACTGGTCAGCAACTGTCTCCACTCCCAGGGTTGGTCACCTAAGCCATTTTTGCAAGAAACTGGGCAGCAGGGAGAGGCAGCAGCGGCGGCGGCAGCCCCCTTGTAAACTTTAGCCCAGTGGTTAGCGCAGTCAGCCAGCATATGGTAGACCTGGTTTCCGTTTCCAGGTCTCTTACCTCTCCAGTGCACGTCCCTACCACTGGGCTATGAGACAGTGTAGTGTGGGTCTCTTTCAAACTCTCCTATGGGACCTGTTGCACGATCTATAAATAATTAAATATTCATTGAGCCAGAGTGAGACTGACTGGCTCTCTAGCCCAGTGATTAGGGCACTGTGACGGGGTGCAGCTCACCACTGCGGCACCTCCTGCTGGCAGTCTTGGGAATTAGCTCAGTACCCTCTTCTGGTGGTGTCTCACCCGCTGTCACCTCTGTTCCTGGATCCACATCACTCCTAGGACCGCAGCGTCCTCTTCAGTGACACTGCCCTCCGCCTGTGCCACACTCTATGTTCTCCCCCTTCTGTGGCAAACTGCAGTCCAATCTAGCCACTTCCTTCAGTGGGAAACTGCAGCCGCTTTGCCCTTGCATCAGGGCCTCAGTCTGCAGATCCCTGCAGCCTGCCAGGAGCTACCTTTAGCTCCCTGGATCTCTGCCTACAGCACTGCTCTGCCCAGGGTGCTTGCTGCTCTCCACCTACAAGGCAGCCAGTCCTCCTCCCTTCTCAAGCTCTTGGGAGTGACTGATTCTGCTCTGTTCTGCAGCCCTTCTTATATGGGCAGCCTGGCCCTGATTGGCTGTTCCTATAAGCCCTTCTGTGATTGGCTACCTCCTGTGCAGCCTCCGTAAGGCTGCTTTTAACCCCTTTTCTGCCAGTGTGGGGCAGACGCCCCATCACAGGCATATGTCTGAGAGATGCGAGACCCAAGTTCAAATCCCTTCTCCATATCAGGCAGAGGAAGAAATTGAATCTGGGTGTCTCACATCCCATGTGAATGCCCTAACCACTATGCTGAAGGTTATAAAGGATCTGCCAGCTCCTCCCCTTCCTTGTCTCACTTTCAGAGGAGGACATTCTTCACTAGATTTAATTTGCAACTGTAGTTACTTATATCTTTATTTTGTTTGCTGTTTTTGTACAGTTAGCAATAAAATACAGTGAGGTAGGCGGGAGAAAGACCCTGCCTTAACAGTGCATTGTGACTCTTGTGAATACAAAGATATCCAAATGAGAGAACATGTCTTCTAACAGGGACAGATCCAAAACCCCTTCAGAAAGATTCCCACTGACTCCTGTAGACTTTTTGATCAGGACCATTAGGAGTAAAATAGTGGAAGATTCTCACAGCAATGTTGCAATACTACAAGCAAATAGTTAAATCTGTCTTCTTGCTTCCTCTTTTGTGAAGGAATAATACATGATGGAATTTCATATCTTAGAGTTCTAAAATCCTAATAATAAACTTGAAAGGTTTCTTTTTAAAATATATTCTTAAACCTAAGTAGTGCTGAAAAATTAAAATTAATATGGGATTCAAATTTGCATTTGAACTAGGTAATGACTGTGTAAAAAGATACTCAGCTCTTTGATGCTGAGAATTGAGAATTCCCAGGGTGACAAGCTAATCCCAAATGCATTAGCAGTAATTTGGGAAATTCTGCCACACCTCACTCAGGAAGGTTAAATATTATGCTGAAATAAGTCAGAGAAAGGTTATTGGGAAGAGGAAACCTGGCACTAGTGCATTTCAGTGTACTTATTTTCATGTTATTGCCTCTGTGTCACACACAGTCAATTACAGTAACTCAAAAAGGGATTGTGGCAGGTATCTGTGCAAGCAGTTAAGAGCTGCAGCTCCCTCTACTGTTCTAGTGGAAAAGATAATGTACTATATTTAATAAAGGGAATGTTCATATCTCTTTTAAAACACCTGATTTTAAATTGTGTTATCCTGTGTTATCTATTGATAGCCAGAACCATTACTTACTATTAATTAGGAAGTCATCCTCTTCATATATCACATCAGTTTAGTTTTTATTGAAGGCATATTCTGAGCTAGTATTCCCATATTGTTTCAAATGTACTGTGACTGAAAATACATGACAATAAATTTCTTATTACCATACACAGTGTGCTGCATGTTACCATCTTAGTCAGACTTCTTATTGGAAAGACACATTAATGTTGTTGTTCCAAATCAGTAAGTATTCCTAAGTATTATTTTCTTTTTCCCCTGACTGGAGTTATTTTTGAGTTCCGTCCTTGAGATTATCACCCGATTAGGTGTAATTTGAAAGCAGTAGGTGTAGACATGCTTTTAGATCTTTTTTCTCATCTTGAAGATTTTTAAAGAAAAAATCCCTTTGGAATACTTACTGAGATGCTTAGAATTCATATGTAAAACATAATGCAGGGCTGCAATTAATAATTGACCTGAAGTTGCAGTTATTGTTCTACTGATAGGTATTTGTGTTTTAGTTCTAGCATACATTGTTTTTCATAACTGAAAATCCTTCAGGCCTTACTCTTTTGCTAACCTGTATGAAGCAAACAGAAATTATCTAAATTTAAAATAAGTATATTTGCATGTTTTTGTTTATATGCATGTAAAATTGACGGTAGACATTAACACTGTCAACACATCAAATTATGCAAACTCTGTACATTTTGTGTCTGTTCCATTTCATTTTTAACCTTGCTTAAACATCTCTTGCTGACAACAATGGAACAGCATATTTAATTTGCATGTTTCAATACCTTTACATGGAAGACTGTTTTCTTTAAAAAATGTGATACAGCTCTTTGATTCTTAGACAAGTATTTAAAAAGGAAGAAGAAGCAGAAAATCAGCTAAATATTATGCTCTTTAAGATGAAGAAAGTGTCATAGTGACATTAAGAACTTGCCCTGGTGGGTAAATGAAGATACAATAAAGAGCAAATAATTTCTCCTCTATTTAATCCATATATACTTAGGGCTTGTCTACAAGACCTTACTCTGATGATAAAAAAAGAATGTTTATCATTGAGGAACAGACAGTCAGTAGTTATTTTAATTATATAAAAATAAATTTCAAATAACTACACCTCTACCCCAATATAACACTGTCCTCGGGAGCCAAAAAATCTTACCGCGTTATAGGTGAAACCGCGTTATATCGAACTTGCTTTGATCCGCCGGAGCGTGCAGCTCCCCCGGGAGCACAGCTTACCGCATTATATCCAAATTCGTGTTATATCGGGTCACGCTATATCGAGGTAGTGGTGTATTTTCTCCTCACTTTGGAAAGGCTCGATTTCCCTTACTAGGCACCTTAAAATAGAATGTTTATTTTCCCATTTGCTAAACTCTCTCTCTTTGCTGCTAGACAAATCACTTTGCTTTCTTGAACTTTCACCTCTAACCCAGCTGGTTACAAGGAGGCTTCATTGTTATCCTGTAGGTCTGAAATAAGCCTTTATATCAGACAAGCACATCATGCTTACCCAAACCAATCCTGACTATATGTAAATTCGTGAAACATTTCATGTTTTAGCCTCTGAAAGGTAGAGAAAAATGTAGGTTCTCCCAATATTTTCCTGCAATCCTCACCAATCACCCTGGGGTTTGTGTAGCCATCCCCTAAACTAGCCTGAGCAGCAATTACAAGTCATATTTCAAGTGCCTTTAAAACTGATAGCTTGGCAGCCATGGAGAGAAGTCCTCCCTGGATCCACAAAACTAGTACACCACAGGCAGTAGCCATTAAAACTTGCCACACTGCCCGTGTACCTTTTCTATGACAGGGAGAGTTTAGTGGTACGGTGACCTGGTTGCTGCACTGCTGAAGAGATTGGAACATTAGACGTTTTGTAAATTGCATAGAAGACTGTACAACTTAGCTAAATAGCAGAGGGGATTTCATTACTTATCTGCTTTATTTTTCTTTCCTAGGTATTCTTTGCTGAAGATGTGGGTTCAAACAAAGGTGCCATCATTGGACTAATGGTGGGAGGTGTTGTCATAGCAACAGTCATTGTCATTACTTTGGTGATGCTGAAGAAAAAACAGTACACATCCATCCATCATGGTGTAGTGGAGGTGGGTAAAGGTTACTGAGCAAAGCTGCTGTTATGTGAATGGAGGTGGCAGCAGAGTGCTGCGTAAAACCATGTAAATCCATGTGTTTACAAATGAACTAAGAAAATCAGCTCCTTGACCAACCAGTGTTTGAAAGTAGTGTGCCTGTCTTGCTAAACTAGTAGTTTTATTCAGCAGGATGGAACTGAAAGATCTGAACAAGTAAATATAAGCACGCAATCCGCAAGATATGCCCCACCTAATTAAATCTAAAACTGCAAAAATCTGTCCAGGAATTAGCCATGACCTATGACTTTTAACATGGACATTAATTTCCCTTTAGAATTTAACAGTAGCTGTAAAGAGAATATTGTATGGGTTGAAAAATCTGAGTTATTACTATTGTCATTTGGAATTCACATGTACGGACTTTTTAAATTGGTTTCTAAAAGGTTAACTAAACAATTAGATAGGATTTGGGGTGGAGTGGGTCATTTGTGGATTTTACTGTGTACTACGCAGATTTGCCCTACACCGATGCTGTATTACTTTTTGTTCTACCAACAGGATTAATTTTTCCAGTTACAGCCTTTGATTTACAGCTAATATGAAACTTATAGATTTGAAAACCACATATAAAACTTGCAAGATCTTTCCTCAGAATGAAAACTGCTTTGTCTCCCAAAGTGTCAAGTAAATCCATCACATGTTCATAATACATTTAAAGTAGTACTGCTGCTACCACCTGCTGTGATTTAACGGAACTTCACTATAAATAAAAAGCATAATGAGCTTTTAAAAAAACAAAACAAATCTCTTCCTTTGGTACTGATACCCAGAACACTCACTGTAGATATCTATTCATTTTGCATTCGTGCATCATATCAGGCAATCCTCAAGAGATTCAGATCTTTTCTTTCCAGAAACCACCAGCTAAACATTTTCAGTTTTAAATTGAACTAAATTTTGTTAATTTCTTTAGGTGCATTTGTCTCAGCTGCAATTTGATTCATATGAGTGACACTTCAGGCCCTAAGGGACACATAGGAGGGATGTTTCCTAAACACACACACACACACACACACACACACACACACACATACACACACACACACTCTCTACATTATTCAGTTCAGAAGAGATTTAAAAATTTGGGAACTCTGCTTTATTTTTGTGACGTATTTATTTAGTATTCTTATAGCCCAAACAAAATTAAACAGATGATCATTGTGACTGATTGGTCCTGTGCCGTAGGAACTCTTAAGCTTTTAATTTTAAAAAAATGTAGGTTTGGATAAAAACGGAGAGGATAATCTTAGCTCTGTGTGAATTTTCTGTAACAAAACTCAAATCAGAAATTTTAGCTCTTGAAAATACAGTACCAGTTTATATACAACTGAGCTGGGTATCAATGACAGTGTAATTGAGTGGTGAGTAAATAATAATAGCTCACTCCTACAGAGGACTTTTGAATCTAGCATGAATACCTAATCAATTAGCAGTACAGACATTAAGGCAGTATTGTCTAGTGGTTTCTTTGAGAACGGGCTCCAAGATCCTTGGTTTGTGGCCTTAGTCAAATCTCTTAATCTCTCTGCCTTAGTTTCTCACCTGCAAAATTGGGATTATACTTATCTATTTCCTAGGGATGTTGAGGATTAGTTAGTAAATGTTTTTACAGCACTTTGAAAAATGTAAAACTCTGTAGGCAGTAAATTCTTCTTAACAAAATGTCTTTGAAGTAAGGATATTCCAGTCCAAAAAGGATTAATTTATCTGGCAAAGTTGTGCACTAAAGGCATAACATTTAAAATATAAATAGCTTTGCATCTGGTCTACATTAGATATATTTTGACAAACTAATTTTGGATCCCATCTGTTTACCTTGTGTCAGAAACTACTATGACAATTTAAATGTATGTTAATAGGTATAAGGTTACAAAACAGTTTCCATTACAACATGCTTCTAGCTTTCTGAAAATTCTCTACTGGGGATAAAATTCTTAATACTTGTTCTCTAATGTGGTTTGGGGGGGAAATACTATGGCCATTTGAAAGGTGTTACAGTATTTTTTTAAAACCGATTTTTAAAACTGGCTCAACTTTGACTGTTAACATTTTCCATGTGAATTGTCCTCATTGAGAGGACAACTACAAACAATTTTGGGGGGGGAAAGGGGGAAATTGTTAATGGATATGAATGATTGCAAATGTAAACAGTTAAAAATGGGGTACAGATGTGCAACATCGCCTTAAAATAAAATCACAAACCCTAAACATCTTACTTACAATATATGTGAGGGCTGTAGGAAATATTGCCTGCTACTCTCACTTCTTGAGAACCAGCTCCTGAAGTCACATTAGGATTAGCTGCAAAGAAAATCTGTAGGTGAGAGGAAAAGGTGCTGTACAGACAAAAGAAAAGGCTATTTAAATAAAGGAGAAAAATTGTAGAGAAATAATACACCGGCTTATACCAAGAAGTATTCTCTGTCAGAAAAGAGGTACTGTAATTGTTATGCTCTCTGGAGCTTCAGCATAGCCATACCTGGAATATTGCGTTCAGCTCTGAGTGGACAATATGGAAACTGCTAAGAGAAGAACAAAAAAATGGTTCTGGTTGATGGAGTTGACTGACAAGGAAAGCATAAGAGTTAAATGTGTATAGATTGGCAGAGCAATAACTAAGATGAGACATAAGTCTACAAATACTTGAAATGTGTAGCTATCGAGGAGAGAAAAAAAATCATCATCATAAAATGGGTAAAGGGAAGTAACAAAGAAGGAAAATGGAGGCTGCAAAGTGGGGTTGGCAATGAGATCAGTCAGTCTGGGGTATAACCACCCCCAGAGAAGCAGAAAAATTCTTATCATTTGACACTTCTAAAACAAAGCGGGAGGAAATTACAAGGAAAATTTACAGTAGTGAAAACTGACTAGGAGAGAAACTAGATGTCCTAATAAGTCTTTTCTAACTATAGATTCCATGATTTGGTGGTGATTGGGAATGTGTTATAAATTAGCTTATCAAATGTAGGTTTTGCCTTAAAATGGAATATTCTATTCAACTTTGCCATGTTTTCGTAGACACACCTATTGCTGTTGCCCTTACAATACAATTGTTTATGATGCTCCTGCTTATCTCTTCAGTTTCTTGTCCATTCTTTAGTCTCATCTGTTTCTGCTTCTGATTAAATAAATAAAAAGAAGAATGGAGAGTAATCTCCTCATCCTGTCTCACATCTCGGGCAGATTGTACTGTGTGCTTCTCCTCCCCTCAGATTCTGAACAAAGGAATCACACGGGGAGCTCAAAGCTAAAACAACATATGGAGTTCAGTACAGTATTGTCTAAAGCAGGGTAAGAACCCTGGCGGACCGGGCCAGTTTATTTACCTGCTGACGCGGCAGGTTCGGCCGATCGCGGCCCCCACTGGCCACGGTTCGCCGTCCCGGGCCAATGGGGGCAGCGAGAAGCGGTGCGGGCGAGGGACGGCAAACCGCGGCAAGTAGGAGCCGCGATCGGCCAAACCTGCCGCATCAGCAGGTAAATAAACTGGCCCGGCCCGCCAGGGTGCTTACCCTGACGAGCCGCGTGCCAAACGTTGCCACCCCTGGTCTAAAGCTTCAATAAGAAGAGTACAGCACAGCCATGAAACAGTCCTGTAGCCCAGATTCTCTTTGCCCATGGCCAGTCTAGTGGCAAGTATCATTTAGCACAAAATATCGGGGTTGCCGTGTTAGTCTGTATCCACAAAAACATCAAGGAGTCTGGTGGCATCTTAAAGACTAACAGATTTATTTGGGCATAAGCTTTCGTTTGTAAAAAACCCACTTCATCTGAAGAAGTGAGGTTTTTTTACCCACGAAAGCTTATGCCCAAATAAATCTGTTAGTCTTTAAGGTGCCACCAGACTCCTCGCCATTTAGCACATTTGTCCTGTCGGACATGAGGTCTATGCTGTAACATGTAGAGATCCCTAGTCTCTCACCCCAAGAGCCCAACACTTCCTGCATCTGACCTTTAATCTCTTGCCATTTGGGAGTTTCCTATTACAGTGTTTTTGGTTGTGAACACTCCTGTGGCTTGCATGGCATGATCTGGACTAGCCACAGTCATCCCTGTATCATAGATGATTTGGTCGTGCGTGTGTGTGTGTGTGTGTGTGTGTGTGTGTGTGTGTGTAAAACTTGAACCTTCTTTGACATTACAGTATAGTAGTTCATTCATGAAGAAAGCTGGGTGCTTTTTCATATGCACTTGCATTCTCTTCTCAATCATTTCCAGTACAAGCCGGAGGAGCTTAGTGGGATGCTTATAGTTTTTATTTCCCATATTTGCTTTCCTTTTTCTGTAACATCCCAGACACTGGACCATGTTAGCAAACCACAGTTGGCACCCAATAATGTTTTAATCATCACATTGTCATAACTTTCACATAATTTAATACTGTTAAATTTGTAAGTTCTTCTGGGCAGAGACAGTGTCCTCTTACGTGTTTGTAGAACACCCACCACAACACCTATTATACATTACTTGTATTATATTACTGTGTAGGGCTCCAGTCATGGCCTAGGACCGCCGCTAAGCGCTGTATAAGCACAGAACAAAAAGATGGCCTGATTGGCTCTACTGGGCAGTAATAAAATATGAATATTTCATCATTATAATTAAAAATTTTGTGCAGAAGCCCGATGGTGAAATATAGTCGGGTATTAAATCACTGCATTGTTTTAGATACAATATAGCCATGGATAGGGCAAGTGGTAACCTGTGAAGAGAGAGTATTTAAACAGCAGGAGCCAGCCAACTAGCCTGGAGATAATTGCTGAGAATCTTTTGTGGGCAGAGCCTGCAGCACTGTCACTATCTCTCACCAAGCCCCATTAATGCCAGGACTGCTATCCCTATGGGAAATAGTAATGAAGACTCTCTAGGGGAGGTAGGAAAGAACACTGGCAGGCCCGGAGAGTGTCATTAAAATGCAAGGGCAAGATTGTACACTAGCTGCTGAGCAAGTCATTGTACCAGAAGTCTCTTGGGGCTTTGAGGGCAGAGGAGACAGGATGTGAAGTTCCCAAGGGCTTCCCTGCCCTTGATAAATTGGAGTGATTGTTGACAGCTAAGCCAAGCACTCATCCGCTGCTTGAACCAGCAGAAAGAAACAGTAATATTCTGGCACTATAAAAATGTTGGTTTTTTTTCTTTTGAAAATGAAAGGTTTGTTCCTACTCCCAAAAGCTAGGGAAATGTAACTGAACAGCCCAAAGAGCGAGCCTCCTCTCTAGCCAGCAGCTGGTTTGTACAAAGCCGTGTGCTTTGTCAGCTTGACTAAAGAGAAACACTTTTCAGTTTTGTTCCAAGACAGTTTGTGTACATTTTTACATCTAACAAAATTGCTCATTGCAGGCTCAGCTTTAAAAAGCCCAGCACCCTTTAATGACAGTATTTTAACAAGAGAAGGGTCCAGTTACATTCCAGAATAGGAACCATCGGAAGTGCCAAGTCATATCAGACCAGTGATCCATCCCATCTAATATCCTGTTTCCAATCATGGCCAAGGGAGAGGGCAAGAAACCCTGCTGTAGCCAATTATGGAACGACCTGCCTGTGTCAGCAGGGTCCGACCCTTAAAGTTGGTGATCTTGCTTGATAGAGAAGGGAAAGGATTATTCTCACACATACAGAGATTTCTTTAAATGCGATTTACAGTCAGTTGAAATTGGAACAAAGGTGAGGAGAGAAGATTTTAGAATAGATGCTAAAATAGGACTGATTTTGATGCAGCAAGTCACCTGATGTATTTTTACATGTGACACTCCTTTCTTTTTTAGTCAGTGGGTAACATGAGGTAGGAAATGGTTCTGATGAGAAGATACTGTGAGATGCGAGGGGCTAATCTAAATCACAACCCAAGCAGACGTGGCCACAGAAATAAGTAGATTAGCTTGCACTTGCCTTGAGCGTGGAACAACATATCCCTTATTTTCCTCTGGAGCTTCAAGTAACATAATTTTTAAAGGGGGACAGTCTTGTCCTTCCCACGCTAAAATATTTCCAGCATTGTAGATCATATTTCAAGAAAATCAGGCATCAGGTTTGTTTAGTCTGGAGAAGAGAAGACTGGGGGGGAGGGGAATAATTTTTAAGTACATAAAAGATTGTTGCAAGGAGGAGGAGAAAAATTGTTCTCTTTAACCTCTGAGGATAGGACAAGAAGCAACGGGCTTAAATTAAAAGCAACGAGCAAAGGCAGTTTAGGTTGGACATTAGGAAAAACTTCCTAACTGTCACAGTGGTTAAGGACTGCAATAAATTGCCTGAGGAGATTGTAGAATCTCCATCATTGGAGATTTTTAAGAGCGGGTTAGACAAACACCTGTCAGGGATGGTATAATACTTAGTCCTGTCATGAGTGCAAGGGACTGGACCAGATGACCTCTCAAAGTCTCTTCCAGTCCTACAATTCTATAAGCACTTCTCTTTTACTTATTCATCAAAAGGTTAGACTAAACTAGCCTGCTATGTAAGATTTCTTGAGAGAATACTTTTTCCATTATCCAAAAGGTTATTTTATGCTAAAAATAAAAGGTTATTTTTGTTAAAGGTTATTACTTACAGAAATTCACATTCAAATTTTCATAGCTAATATTTTAGAGTAGTTTAGAATCCTCTGTGCCCTTCCTGCTTTTAAGTCTTCTGACAAGGTAGAATTGATTTTTTTTTTAAAGGGAGATAGCAAACACTAGAAGTAAAGGATAGCAAATAGAATAGCTCTGTTTTAATAGGTAATTAGGAAGCTGGCTAGGAGATGGTAGGTTTTGAAGACACAACAGTTATGCAGTTCACACAGTGGAGATAATTAGGTGTTTTAACATTTAGAGACTGGTCTCACCACCTCTAATGTGGTATAGTTTTACATTGCTAAAATGTTCAGTGAAGGAAACTAATATATGGAGCAGCGGGTACTCAGAAATGAAGTTTCAACCACTGAGCTGTCGTTGTTCGTATCTGCCACGAAATCAACAGTCAGTTTTAGTTAAATAGAAAATATTTAACTGGGTCAGAAACAAAGCGCTGATATTGGGGACCAAATTCAACCCTGGAATAAGAGGATGTGTTCCCCATTAAATGTCATGGGATTGTTGATTGTGGGCCCCCATCAGTATCTTTAGATTTTTATTAGTCAATTTGAAAGGTCCCAATTGGCAACTTTAGATATTGTCTAATAGGGTCCAGCACAAGCCACCTCCTACTGTTCTGCCAAGGTGATTTGTATTATTGAGATTCTAGTTTACACCCTCTGCGCCAGGCTCTCTGCAAGCACAGGAAGAGAGACCTAAGCATTTGTGACCTGGAAGACAGCCAGTAGATGAAGGAGGTAGGGAAACAGGTTGCAAACTGTCTCTCCTTACCCCATTTTTGTCCGTCAGGTTGCAAATTCTTTGGAGCAGGGACAAGCAGTAGTGGTAAGCACACTGCAGAAAGAAGCTGGTGTCTCGCTCAGCTGGTTGCCACATCCTTGAGCAAACGTAACCACTTCTGGTGACTAGTTCTTGTCCTGCAGGTTACAGCAGCAGAGAGGCAAGCCATTGCTGTCTAGATCAAGAGGGAGGTTCCTTCAGGCTAAGGCAGTAGGAGCAGGGCTGAGCTTACCTGCCTGCAAGTTATTCTTTAGAGAAGTTCTGTGATGGCTTCTAGTTAATAATTCCCAGGTGTTACTCCAGGTGTTGATCCATAAAGCCCTTCATGGTTTGGGTCTTGGATGTCTTTGAGAGGAGAGTCAGACTCTTTCTTTAAGCTGGTTATTGAGTTTAGGTGAGATGAGAGGTAATAGACCTTAGGTTTGTGGTGCCCCGTTAACTGGAGAACCATCCCAGCTAGAATTTGGTCCATCGGGGCCAGAGTCTGTTGACCTGGGCAAGCTCCAAGACTTACCTCCCTACTTAGGCTTTTCCTGTGAGGGTAGGGTTGAGGAGTGAGCCCTTTGCTTGCTTTTCTTTCTTATGGGGTTGGAGCTTTGAAATGTGTTTAAATGCACTGATAAGAGCTCAGAATATAAAAGGGAGGAGTGGGAGGAATAAGTAAACTTGAGCCATTGTGTGGATCAGAGGAAACCTGACCACGGCCCGTTTTCTCCCCACTCTAGGTGGATGCTGCAGTGACACCAGAGGAACGCCACCTTTCCAAGATGCAACAAAATGGCTATGAAAATCCAACCTACAAGTTCTTTGAACAGATGCAGAACTAGAACACCACAATAGCCTCATGAGTTGGACAGCAAAATGATTGCTTCACTGCCCATCGGTGTTCGGTTATAGAATAACGTGGAAAGAAACAAAAACACTCTGTTTTATTATTTACTCATTATCGCCTTTTGACAGCTGTGCTGTAACACAAGTAGATGCCTGAACTTGAAATAATAAAAATCAGTAATGTATTTTCTCTCTTTACATTTCAGTCTTTACACTACATTATTAATGAATGTTTTTTGTGTACTGTAAAGAGTTTAGCTGTATTTAACTAGTGCATGGATAGATTCTCTTTCCCAATTATTTATCATGTGGCCCCTTAGCCAACTGTATATTATTCTTGTGATTTGTGGCAAAAATTAAGTCCTACTTGAAATATGCTTTAAAGAATTGATGGGGGATGCTTCCTGTGTCTTAGCTGCTTCTCTTTGCTGAATTTTTTTTTTCTGATCACGAGGCATTTTAAAGTAAAACTACTTTTTTTTAAAAGTATTCCAGATGAGTTATTTTCTTCTGCAGTTGCATTTTATTGTACAGATGGTTGCTTCTGCTGTATTAGTGATGTAGAAATCATGGGAATACACATTCGTTTCTTTGTGCCTGTTTTATGTGCACACCTTAGGCATTGGAAGGTAAACTTCTTTTCTTTTCCATGTACCTTTTTGATCTTTTAATAAAAATTAAAAATGAAAAAGAATCCCTATTAATTGTGAGCACTTTCATAGGGAAAAAGTGCCTGCTGGTTGAAAATTAATGGGGATCCTACAAATGTCTCTGCAGGATGATTGTACAGAATCATTGCTTATGAATTGATAGCTTTCTACACTGTGTTACATAAATAAATTAAGAAAAAAACCTTTGGACAAGAGTTTTCTTTGGAGGAAGAAACAGGTATATTGAAAGCAACTTAAACAGTAAACATCAAACATTCATAGAGCTGGAGGGCAGGGGTGTTTTCCTGCAAGCGGATATGGACCAGAACATCCACAGTTTGAATATAGAGCAGGGGTAGGCAACCTATGGCACGTGTGCCGAAGGTGGCACGTGAGCTGATTTTCAGTAGCACTCATGCCAAGGGTCCTGGCCACCGGTCTGGGGTGCTCTGCATTTTAATTTAATTTTAAATGAAGCTTCTTAAACATTTTAAAAACCTTATTTACTTTACATACAACAATAGGTTGCCAACCCCTGATATAGAGGAACAAAATGGTAATATGGGGAAGGGACATGGCCCTTAGCATCCCTTCCCCTCTAACGTGTCATTTTTCCACTTTGTATGATAGTGTTAATGTAAATAAATATGTTCACGGAGGAGTTCCATTTTAGCGTGCTTGTGTCATTACAAACCCCACCTCCCCCAATAGCTTGTATAAACGTGTGCAAATTGATGTACACAAAGTCAATGCCCACGACACAGGCATGATTCTCTGAAAGGTGGTTCTCATTACTACTGCTCCTTCACTGATCATGTTGTGCCAGTTGCACTCTAGTGGTGTCCAATTTAAATCAATGTAATGGGCTGTATGCAATCAGTTAGCAGTCCTGAAATCTGCAACAAAGCATACCTGCTACACAGCTCTTCTTTTTCCACAATACCAATATGTGGTTTGTGAAGGCTAAAGACAAAAAGTGATTTCCCTGGGCCTGCCTGAAGAGAATGAATCACATGATAATGACAAGGTAATACTAGGACCGGCTCCCGGGTTTTTGACACCCCAAGCGGCAAAAAAAAAAAGCCGTGATCGCAATTGCGATCAGCAGCACTTCGGCGGCAGCTCCACCACGCCGTTTTCTTCTTCGGCGGGAATTCAGCGGCAGGTGCTTCCCTCCCAGAGGGACCCGCCGCCGAACAGCCCGATGTGCCGCCCCTTCCCTTTGGCCACCCCAAGCACCTGCTTGCTGGGCTGGTGCCTGGAGCTGGCCCTGGGTAATACGCAGCTGCTGTATCTCTCTCTTCTTTTGTGATCTACGAAGCAGGGTAAGATTGGTGTTCAGGCACTGCAGGTGACATAGGTGGATGATCTGGTAGATGTGCTCAAAGGCCACCTACTGGATTAGGTCCCATTCAGAATCTGTTCAAAGGAAGACGTGGTGGTGCTGCTGGTGTTGCCCACCTTAAGTTTTAGCCCAGTGGTTACAGTACACCCCGACACATGGGAGACCCAGGTTCAATCACCCTCTCTGCCTGAATAAGTCTCTCCCCCCTCTATCAAAGCCTAAGGAGAGTGCTCTTGCCACTGATGTGGGGTCCCTCAGTCTCTCCTATGAAAGCTGTTCCACTGTGGATAAATACTTAAAGTGGAACAGCTTCCACAGGTGAGACTGAGGGATCCCATAGCTCAGTGGTTAGAGCACTCTTCTGCAACATGAGACCCAAGTTCAAATCCTTTCTCCACATCAGGCAGAGGGGAATTAGGGGAGCCCCTGGTAAATCTCAGGTGAGTGTGTGGACACCTGCCATGAGAGTTGCAAGAGGGGCACTTTCTCCTCCAGCCAGGTTTTGAATGGGGCCAGAGCCAGCAGACATACTCTGAGCTCAGGCAGGGGAATGTCTGTTTTCCCCTGGTTTGAGGATCACATCAGAGTGTAGGCTGAAGACAGGCATCCAGAAACCCAGAGTGAGGCAGAAACACACATGCCATGGGCACTTTGTGCAGTGAAAATGTAGGTACTTTAGGCAGTCGTTAAACGGGGGTGTTGTGGTTCACAGTCATGCCTAACACTGGGACTTGAATGCCTAAACCAAAGCTTTAGGCACCTATGTTCCTTTGTGGATCTGGATTCTAAGCCCTGCTGCATTTCATTGCTAGCTCTCTTGGGTGTTGTGAATTCACTAGCTGGCAGGGGGGTCTAGGAGTCCGATGTTGCAGCATCTCAGACCTGTGACTCAACCCCTTGCTGCCCTGATGTATGACACTTGTGTATTTTAGTAAGGGAGCAAAGTGTACAAGTTATCACAAACGGATTGTGAACAGTTCCATGCAGCAGAGGTGCTTCCTGAATCACTTGTTGCCATCAGTAATTATCTCTCTCCTGCTGTTAGGGAAGCTAGAAAGGCATGGGGAACTATTTAAGGTTTAAAGTGGGATAATTGCATTACCACCTGACTATAAACACTGTTGCAAGGCTCGAAGAATCCACTGATACTTCTCCATTGCAGGCTAAGAGACTGACGTTCTCAGTAACATGGAAAAGTTTGGCATCTTATTCTCGTATGCTACCTAACAGCTACCTTGACATCTCCTACATAGGGAGTTCTGTCAGTATAACTGCGTTGCCCAGGTACATGGATTTTCCACACCCCTGAGCAACATAGTAGTAGTAGTGTAGACCAGTGGTCTCCAAAGTGGGATGCACAAGAGGATCCTTGGGGGTGCGCAGCAGGAGGAGCGTTTTTGTTTTTTCTTCGTCCAAGCAGCTTTTTTTTGTGTGTGTGTGGCAAAAATGGTAGAGCCGGCGCGGCAGTGGGTGCATGCTCAAAATTTTTTTACTGATAGGGGTGCGCGATCAAAAAAGTTTGGAGACCACTGGTGTAAACCAGGGCTCTGCTCCTCTCCCCAGTCTGTCAGTACCTGAAACCAGCTGGACCATACTGTAGCCTAACGTAGGAAACAAACTTTCCAAAGCTTGCTTCCGGGTAAGTCCAGCTTCTCAAAGGGCTTGGGGTTGTTTGCTTTTATCTTTCTTTTTTCCCTGTAACAATTTACTCTGCCACATGGGGGCGCTTACTAGGCATAATACACTTCCTACTCCCCTCCTAGCGTCGTGACCTGATTTACACCTGGTTGCAGCCTGGGGTATGTATACATGTGTTATAAATAAAGTAAGTTGGGTAGGAGCGCAAACATGAAATGTGTCAGTTTGCAGGTGCCCCCTTCTATCCATTGCATCCACCAGATAGGGTCTCTACAGTATTTTTTAGTCCAGATTGTCAGGCTAGCCCCTCCTAACTGCAAGCTGTGCATGGGA